TTGTTTAAGCTAATAATATGTTTGGCTAGATATAGTAGAACAAGGGTTAGTGGACATTGTGGCATGCAGTTTGCTAGAGGACTTTTGTTTTCTTTGCTGTAGTTATGTATTTTTACTGCCTGTTTCAAAATTTCTAACTGTTGAATTTATATAACCCTATTCATATTGAAGACAATTAGACATATAAATACTATATGATCAAATTAGAGCAGAACTATATACATAACTGTAATAAACTTTGAATTCTTGGTTGTGGTTTGAAAATAATTTTCCCATCAACCTGTTGGTAATACTTTCTTGTAACTTGCTCTTTTATTCAAGATGGTAGAGCATCTGGCTAAATACTGTACAACGAGGGTCAGCAGACAATGTGAGACATTATAAATGACAGCATTGGTGGTGTCAGTCAGCTCACTGTAGTTCTTTATTATACTCTGATGGAATTTTAATTGGAAAGCTGTTCTTCAGTAACTGTTTTGTTTTTACTTAGTACATTTTGATGATACATAACATTACTGCACAAATGAAGAGCCTCATGTATTAGAATTAAAACTAAATTATTTTAAAGGTATTTGGAATAAGGCTGTTAAAATTTAAACAAACTAATAAAGGTATTTTTGTAATAGTAGTCAACTACAAATCATTTACTTTTGTTTCAAATTTCATTGTCCAACCATGGAAGTTCTGAATTAATGTGCTCTTCTACTCAGAATTTAATACATTCAAGTTGTTGATTGAGATAATTAAAAAATAACTTAACATTGAACTACTCTAGACTTGTGAAAGTATCATCAACATATCTTGTTAATCATAGATTTGCATTATTCTGGACAGTTCTATAACCAAATCTTTACTTTTCATGTAGGATGAAGTTAGCCAAACCAGGGGGCTGTGATTAATCCCATGTATATTCCATTATTGTAATTTTCCAAATATAATATGAATTTTTTTCACTAAAAATTTATCTAGAAGTTAGGGTGCACATAATATATAGTAAGAAATCTAAATGTTTTTGTTTTTTTACAACTAGTCCAGACTATCTTTTCTAACATGCATTATAAATGATAGTGCAAACTTACTAGAAAGTAGTTAACACCTTTATAGCATGATCACCTTTATTAAGTATAATTACATTTTAACAAGTTTTATAATAACTATATTTTTGTTTTTTGCAAGATTGTTAATGCTTCTCTTTCACTTGTAGAAATATTAAAGGGTTTTATTTTTTTTCAATGTACTCCTGGAAAGAATCTATAACATTACCAGGTATGATTGTGCAAGTATCAGAAAACTATAAACCTTTTATAAAGATTGAGAAGTTTTGTAGTTTTCTAAAAATAGTTCAGTGGGGGAGGATACTAAAAATTTAAGGCTTCTAGTTAAAGCTTGTTCCTGAACATGATTTAGAGGGTAGTCAGAAAAGTTATCATTTACTTTACCTGGGTCATCCAAGAAGGTACTAAAGCTACTCCATTTTTGTTTGGGGTTTAATTTCATTAACTGTGTCAACTTATTTTTAACGAACTTTTTGTTCATATTTTGTTCAGTTAACAGAATTAAATTTGAATAATCTACCATGTGAATGTTATGTTTTAAGTTTGCTGACAATTTCTAGCAATGTGACAGTAAAGCTAGTAGGATTATTTGCTTTAATTTCAGCATTCAAGAACATAACTTAATTTTAATGTAAGGTACACTATTTCTAATCCTGTTAAAAGGAACTTTGAAATTGAGAAGTTTGAAATCACAATCCTTCGTATTTGAAAATAGCAGGTGAGTAAAATTTTTTCACACACCTGAAAATAATATGCCGAGTGATTTTTACTAGTATGGTGAGTGATTTTAATCATTCAGTGAAAAATGTTTTTTTTTTCAGGTCCATATATCATAATGTGGTGAGTAAAACAAACAGTAAATTTGAAAAAGACCTTCATTTATTTAACTTGTTTTAAAAAATCTGTGTATACGTGTTATATTCGAAAAGTTATGCAGTTTTTAGTAATTACTCAAACACCCGTAAATTGCACCCTTGATTATAAACATTTGACAAAAATGGGCCTAACCGAGTTTCTTTTTCTTTTTATAAGTGAATAAAAATATTGGCAGATAATCAATAATGTTGGATGAGGATGCATAGGATAGGTTACTTCACCATGGAAGGCAGCACATTGATCAAATTTAGGGAGAGGCTGCACACTTTCCATATATAGTATAAGCTAAGAAATTATAATGAATTTTTTTTAGTATAGCACCCAAACCTGAAAAATTCTCCTATAAAACACTGTTTGACATGAAATTAACCAGAGTTTATCCACTGTAATTTTGAGCATTGGAAAAAAGTAGCCAAAATTGGATGTGAAATCAAAGTTATTAATGACACAAAAACTTTGTCTATGAAGACCTTGGACTGAATAATTAAATGACAAATAAAGCTAATGCATGGTTGAAATCTGGTCAGTTCGGCCACTATTTATATTCATTCACAAATATTGATCCGATTTTGCCACGATTTAACACTCGGTTCCACATTCATTTGTTGTCACATAACCAATAGTATCCAGCAATTCCCACTTTAAAGACATGGACAAATGTTTGCTCATACCGGTCACCATTGTTTTACATGAATGTCAATTTACAAAAGTAGACTGTAGTACCTGATTTGGATTAATGCGTGCTCAACAAAAAATGCTTGTGTAGTGGATCGTCAGTGCTGCAGTAGTAAACACCTGTATTAGTTGCAATATGACAATATCACTCATCACGTGCGCTAAAAAAATAAAGTTGTGCGTGTGATTCTAAAAAGTTTTTTTATGCAAGCGATAATGAAAAATTTATGTGAGCAATTAACAATGCATCTAAAGCAATATTTATGTGCTTTATCATGAGTAAGCATGATCACGCATTTCAAATCCGAAAGACTGAATCACTCTTTTCTTTGCAATATTTCAAACATTCTAATCTTTATAAGTAGAAATATGAAAAATATATTTTTAATTAGTTACACTAATTGCTAGGTTAAATTTTACTTTTGCTATAAGTATATAGCTTGCTACGATCAGAAATTAATATTGATTGTAAATGAAATCCATCCTATTGTAGTTTCAATTTTTTTTCCTTCATTCTTTAAGTTTTATAGGTTCAACAGTTAGAATTTTTGAAACATGCATTAACCCTATCGACACGGGTCAAAGGCCATGTCATCGCATTTGTTGACTCGCATTCAAAATTGTATTCCACTACAATTATAGGAATTTATGTTGATAAGTTTGGTGTCAAATTGTAGTTTATAATTCAGATTTTAGTTTTATAAATTAGTTAATTTCTTAATTTAAAAGTAAATATTTAAAAACACACCAAAATATTGATTTTTTGTGTCACGTGGTATGTTGAATGCAGCATTGGTTCAGATTAGATGTTTGTGATGCCAAAATATAAATTCTATGGTTTCATATGAATTAGGAACTCAAATTACCAATATTTACAAGCTAGAATATAAAATAAGAACCTACTATATTTTATATTTGCTGAGATATTGCTACAATTACTGACTCAAACTCATTTTTGGAAACACATGCTTATGTACACCTACTTCCCAAATAAAGCTTAGTTACTAAGCTTGATAAATTGTAATAGAATTCTATGGTATTGATATAATAATTTATGATTTTTGGATATTTCAAAAGGTATATATAAAACAAAAAAAAATTATTTCGTTTCACATCCTCCACGTTTGAAATTTGATAAAACTTAGCAAACTACAGCAAGCAGCAAACAGGTACAAAATTCGTAACTAGAAGAGATAATTGTTTGCTATACTTCTTTATTTAATGTTCTGTGTTTTAAGAAAATTAAATTTAAGAACTTATTTATATGTAGTAATAATATATATACATATATATTATAACTGAAATGTGACTGTATTTTACAAAATACTAGTCTACTAAAACACACCCAGGACATTATTGGATACAGTACATGAGTGCACGTGCACTGCATCATTGCAACTTCTGTAATGTTAGCCAAGTACAGCTGAAATGTCAGTATAATAAAAATAATAAATATATATATATAAATTTATAATGTTATGAGATTTGATATATTTAGACTAAACATTTGTGTTCTTGTGTTTTAACTTGTAGTCATCCTAGAATGATAAAAGCATAATTTATATTTATTTCCTAATTTTTTAAGGTGATTACAAGGTCGGTTAACTCAACCTAACTCGTATAGAGATTCGATAGTGAAATAACAGATGAAATATAAAGTTTTTTCTTTTAAAAATGTTTGAAAACTATCTGGAAGTTATAAAAATTTGCATGTGAAATTTGAAAATTATCTGATGCATAAAAGTATTTTTAATCTTAAAATCAAAATTACTTTGCATGTTGGATAGTCAACATTTCAAAAGAAAAAAGCATGAGAAAAACATTACTTAAAGACTCTGATATCTTGCATAAGAAAGCCTTGTAGTGTTTACTGATGATCTGCAAAATTTTGTGAAGATATATTTACTAATTTAAAAGTTATAGCATGTAAACTGTAACAAACACAAAATGGTTACGAGGTCGTTCCCTGGGACCAAGCTAGTGCTGAAAGAGTTAAAAGAAATGCAGCTACAGCAAAGGAAACAAAGTTCTCTGTTCATTTATTTTTTTGATGTGTGCAATATACCAGCAGACAACCAACAATTTAAGATAATAGGATGTAGTTTGAATAAGGAAATGCTTCAGAAGAAATAGTCTTATTTTATTAAACTGCTTCAACCAAGCTTGAAAATGAATCAGCATTTTTCACTATTACAGTTGCATTCAAAAGTGGCCAAATTTCAATGTTTTTTGTGTACACTTTATTGTCTTAATTATTGGTGGTAAGTGCCTTTTACTCCTTGTTCCTTAAGGTTAATTTTATAATTGTAGAGTACATAAACATCACATTAGTGCAATATTTGATGTCATTGTTCTTACATGTATGCTTAACTATATGTATATATTTTATACCAGATTACTAAAGAAAAACTTTGGGGTCTGCAAGCCTTTGGCATTGTGTTGCGAGTTGTTTGGTATGGTTCTCCCAAATGCTGTTGCTCTGACAGTTCATTTGCAGGATGTGTTTGCTATGGCAAAGTAAGTGTAATGCATAATATTTAAATCTCAGAGAAATTTTAAATCTAATATGTACTGTTTCTTCATGATGTAACTTCTCCCAGGTTGAGGAGTTAATGATAGTGTGTGTCAAATAAATATCTTATGGCTGTGGAATTGATTCATATGGTACTCAAAGTTTCATTCATGTTGAACTGCCTTTATTATAAGTGTAGATAGATATAAACTTGTAGTTAACCACTTTAAGTAATTAGCATTCACATACTATTGTAAAATCATTATTAACTAGTTTGTGAAAAAGAGTAATACTGGATGTATTTACACTATTATATCAACACTAAATAAACAGAAATTTTATGATAACATGATCAGAATGTTAGTGTCAAAATCCTCGAGGAACATTATTGTTCAGTTTTTTTCTTTTTTTTTTCTAATTGTGATGTATACTGTATACTGAGTTCTCTAGTTGTGTAGAAAGTTGTTTTATTACAGTAACAAAATGTGTCAGTATATAAAACTATTTAGTTAAAAGAAAATAAATCTATACTATATTTATTCTGCTAATTTTGGGATGGTTCTAGAATTATGGCCACTTGATAGACAGGCATTCTGTTCTATGTATAAAAACTGAGCTTTTTGAATGCCTTCATAGCTTTTCTGTTGACTGAGCAGAATGTGACCATTACTTCCAAAGGGAACGTTAAACAAGGTAGAGCCAAAGGATACAACAATAACTGTCTTCCAAGGAATTGGATAACTCAAACAGCTGGGTACTAATGACAGCAGTTGGGTTTGAAATTACACCCTAAGCTAATCAGGACTAACACCCTCTTCCAAAACGTAAAGGCTATGATTAGAAAAAAGGATCCTCCAAATCAAAAAGTCATTGTAAAGCTAGACATATGTACTAATATCTTTGACAAAGTAATAAACAAAGCTTGGGAGATGATGGAAGCTCTCAAGTCTAAAAGTTAGAAGTTTTCAAACACATCTTGATAAAGATAGATGTTTTTATAAGAAAGATAACTGAAGAAGCTAAAATGGCAACAACTACACACCTGTGAATTTCACAGTACAGTTCCAGTGTAATTTTGTACTTTAATTCTACACTTGAAAGTCATAGACCTTCAGTACTTGCAAAAGCTGTACCCTATTGAACATGAGGCAAGATGTTTGTGTTCACTGTATATATACTGGGTGATTGAAAGGTTCATTGACAGGCAGAATATTTGGAATGGCAAGGTATAGGAAAATATATGTTAGTGATACGTGACAATATCATTGAGATTGTTCAGGGCCATGTCCTTTGAAACTTTTATTAATATTCATCATACTCCAAAAATTTCAGTTACAGAAGTGTACACAATACCACATGAAGCATTTTAAACAAGAAATAACCAAAATTGTTCCACAACAACAACAACAACAGTTATAGGTGTAGATACAGATGAAATAAAACATCCTCAAAATGATGGCTAACAAACAACAGTTGTGTTCAAAGTGCTACCCAAATGTGATTTCAGATATGGTGTCTTTATGGTCAGTGTTGTTTGCTGCTCTTGTCTGTCTGTACAGTGTCTGTGTAGAAGTGAGTCTGAAGGATGACATTTGTCTGGGAATGATTCTGATATTACATATTATCTAGCAGAATCATGGGCGTTATGGTGTTTCTCTCTCCATACACTAGAGCCTTGTTAAACTGTTCTTCTGCTGAACGCTGTGCCATTATTTAGATGAATCGAGAGAAGCTACAGTACAATGCTTGTGTGCTACCTTGTGTAAGGGGTCTTAATACTTTATAACCTGTTGGACCCATCAAAGGCACAGTGACCTTCTTATGCAAAATTCTGACCTTGCTTTTTTCAGTAGTGTGGGATATATAAGCTGATATGTAAAAAGCTCTATAACAGTAGGGGATAAAACACTGATATAGCTCTTCTCTGAAGAAGTCTAGCTGTTCTCATTGTAGCATTAATGCAGGGCAAGAAGCAAGAGAAACAGATAAAGCTTGATTGCTGAGAAAAACATAGTCTTCATTACTAGTAAGTCAAAGTTGATCATTGTCTCCAGAAAGGGTGTAATCTTTTGTATTTTTTTGCCACTATAAAACATAAACTAGATGAATTGTATGCTAATTGGCCTGAACTGTTCGTGTAAACTTTATCTTCTGCAGTACTGATTAAAACTGAAAATATATCCATTATGTTATCAGCCTTTTTATTTTCCTAGTGACCATCAATATTTCTCATAGTCATGCTTGCACCATATTGCTTCCTCACTAATGATCAAAAAAAGGGGGAAATCTTTCTTTGCAGCTTCAGTCAGATAAGTGTAGTTGATACTAAAGTGAAAGAAAGCTACACAACTTGCAAATCTATTTCATAATTAGGTTTCTGTAATATGGTGAATAAGGTTTAAACATGTATATAAACTATTTATAAATGTGTTGATTTTAATTTTTAGACGACAGATATTTTTCCTCCGACATTCTGCTGAAGGAGCAAGTCAGTCTATTCACCAAGGTGAGTTTACCTGTTATGTACCAATTACAGCAATAGTACTCTCTCTGACTTGAAATTTCAGGCTGTATCAGGTTTAAATTACATACTCCATTTTAGCTTATATTGAAATACCTTTAATGAAGTTTACATAATAACCAGTATTTCATAACCTATGTCTGACAGGATTCTCACAGGTCATGGAAATCCTGGAAAGTCAGGGAATATTGCAAGCACGTTTTTTCAGAACTGGAAATTCTGAAAAATCTATTTTTTTATTAAAAAGTTCTGGAATACAGTTTGAAAATTTAACCCCCTTTACTCCCATGACTCATTTTGATTAACAACAAGCCATACTATTGTGTTTATCTTAGTTTCATGGAAAATTATTTTACAAAAATGTGACTTGTTAGATAGGAAATATGCTAACTTGGCAACAATGATCAGTAATAGGCTTTGAACCATGTACCTCAATCTGCAAGTGAAAAGGTGTCATGATTGTTGTCAGAATCATATTGTTAGCATGAAATAAACTCAAAACTCATTTGGCAGAAAGTTGAAATCATAAACTTATTGATTGGATAGAGAACATGGACATTTCACATTTTTCCTTATTCCATCTTCAGTGTAAACACTTCAAAAATAATGAACAACATTTCTAGCCTGAGTTCTTCATCAGTTACTGCCTAATGGTCATTACTACAAACAGAGAGAGAGAGAGAGAAATGCAGATACAAATGGCACCATTATAATAGATTAATTGTCATAAACCTAACCTCCATGCATGAAACTGTTAAATATTTGCCATTAAAGACATCCCATTAGTTTATATTTGATTAGGTTGCCAGTTATTTATATTATGATTAATCTTGGAAAGGATATTTTGAATGACATTTTGGGCCAAATAATTAAATATTATAGAAACATTCTTTTGCTTTTAAGGGACAATCAGGACTGTAAATACACTATTATTACGTATGTTCTTAATATTATTTTTTTCTGTTTTTATTAATGTTACTTTTGAGATCTGAAATAAATCAAATTCTTGAAAAATGCTTATTGATTTTACTTATCATCTTACCCTGTGTTAGGCCCAGCATGGGCAGGTGGTTAGGGTGCTCGACTCGCAATCTGCGGATCGCGGGTTTGAATCCCCGTCATACCAAACATCTTGCCCTTTCAGCCATGGGGGCATTATAATGTGACGGTCAATCCCACTATTCGTTGGTAAAAGAGTAGCCCAAGATTGGCGGTGGGTGGTGATGACTAGCTGCCTTCCCTCTAGTCTTACACTGCTAAATTCGGGATGGCTAGCGCAGATAGCTCTTGTGTAGCTTTGCGCAAAATTCAAAAACAAACAAACAAACTTACTCTGTGAGGACTGATAAAACTGACACCATTGACAACAAATAAAATTATTCATGATGGCTGTTGTTTTAAATATAGCTTAACTTTTGGTGTGGGTTATCATACAAGAGAACTTGCAGACTGAATGACATATTTAAATATAAATGTTTTTTAGACCCACAAGGTTTCCAGTTCTTTGACAAGTTCTTTGTTAGGTGGAATTACAGCAGTAAACTGAGAAGATGTGTAAAAATAATGTAATACAATTGTGTGGGAAAACCATGAGATATAGGACATTGTTAATGCAGGCAACAATATGAGAGTGGTCTCAGTTACAATATGAATGTCAATCTTTCTTTTGTTGACTTGTTTGGCATTGTGACATGTCATGATGTATGTTCAGTTACCAGTCAGGTACAAGTTGGCTTCTTGTCCAGTAAATATTATTTGGTTTTGAATAGATGTGAGAGGAGTTTTTATCTCTAAGTCACAGTGTTTGGGATAAAGATCCAAGACTTCATCACTTGTTATTAAACTAATGTTAGGAAAAGTTGAAGTATATTTAGAGGATTGTAAGTGATCAGTTTAGTATTGCTTTTCTCAGTAAGTGTGGTGATTTAGAATTTCTTTTAATCTTCTGTTAGCAGCATTGATACATTGAGTCAACCCTGTTTCTTTGAAGCTGTACGTAGTAATATTTACCATAATTCTGAAATTAGTACACACATATTCACAAAATATGGCAAGCTTTTAGCAAACATTTTAACCCTGTTGTACACATAAAAAGTCAGTGTTTTAATAAAGTCTTTTTGATAAGGATTTTTCTGTGTATTTATAAAGTCTTTCCTAACTCTGAGTAGACAGAGTTTCTAGAGGTTATGCAAATAAAATAAGGAAACTGTAAGAACAAAAAAAAAGTATATCAAAAGTTCTTTTTTGGTTTTGGCAGAATTCTAAACTTTATCTTTTCTTTCTTTCTACCCTTAACACTAACTGTAGCAAAATCATCAATTCACAGTAAAATTAAAATTTGAAAAACACAAAATAAAATTAGTAGTAGTTTTTCTCCTTTTTTTTGGATGATTCATTTTGTTTTAATATTGGTCTTTGTATCTTCACAATTTAAATTGTTAACCTTTTTACTTCTTCTCTCTTTCATTTTATTGTCTTACTTTGTATCCTCTGATGCAGTAATTCTCCAGCTCAATGCAGTATATCACATCAAAGATTATTAGCCATTTATTTTAAGCTCTGCAAAGGAAACACTTGACCTGCATGATCTTTGCAACTACAAACAATACTGTGTTAGGCCTTCCTTTTTTCACAAAGTTAGTTCTTCAATTAAAAATTCATTTAATTTAACTTTTAAATATACAATTTAGAACACAAAATTATATCAAATACTAAAATAGTATATCACAAAGCTCCTTTAATTTACCTGACTTTTTAAGTAAGTTATAAATAGGTTAAAAGAAAGAAGAACAATCACACATAAACTATCAAGGAGAAAATGTCAACATCTGGCTGAGTGAAAGAAATTACTAGTGAGTATAAACATAGCTATCAAATAAGAATATGTTGTTTTGATGTATTCCTTCAAAGCTAAAATAGATTGGTGCATTGAATTTATTTATTCATATCTCAGTTGATTGAGCAGTTAGTAGATTCTAATTGTATAATCTGACTTATAATTATTTATAGCTTGTGTTGCTATAAATAATTGTGTTGCTAGTTAGACAGTCTAAAACCCAAAAAGGGAAGAGAGAAAAGCTACAAATGAGAATTCAAAAACTGAAAATTTTTTTTAACATTTTCTTTTGTAGTTAATTTTTGTTTGTTTGTTTGTTGTTAAGTACAAAGCTATGCAGTAGGCTATCTGTGCTGTACTTACCATGGGTATCCAAACCCGGTTTTTAGTGTAATAAACTTTCATACTTACTTCTGAGCTGCTGGGGGACTTTAAATCAAGAAATTAAAATTTAGATGATATAAAACTGAATTATAAATTGTTTTGATGCAGAGTTTATTGATATACATTGGTAATAAAATTGTATAATTATACTTTGAATGTAACTTTGTAAAAGGTCATGACATACACATTTTGACTGAGTTAAATGTAATAATTGTTTTTGATAGCTCAGGTGTTACTATTACTGGTAAAATGTTTACAAAAGTGGAAAAAATGACATGGGTCATTGCTTATATTTGTATACTGTATATTTTTACAGCATTTAAGACAACTTTTCAACGAATCTGACTGAATGTATGATATCATTTGCACTGTTTACCTCATACATTTATATTAACAAAGTGAGTTTGTTACTGTGTTTGATTTATATCCATTTGAAAATAAACTACTATTTGACTTGCAACTTCAATTCTCATTCCATAAATATGTGGTACCATCCACAGTCCACATTGCTATCATATAATAGTTCTTGAATTGAACAATTACATTCAAACTTCATCATTTAATCAAGGGATACCTCAATGCTCTGTACTTCAAGAAACAAACCTAATATTAAGATGAATGTAATAGCTGTTAAGCTTTATTAAAATGTACTATGTTTCATTGGTAATTTACCAAATGTCAGTTAATAGTTTAAATTCCACATTGACCTATTTCTAAGTAGCAAGCACCTTAAAGAGGTTTTTGGATCTCCTTTTTTAGCCCCCTATTAGAGTACTTTACAATTAATTAAAGTATTGTTACATTGTTACAGAATTTATTTCTAGAAAAGTGACACCATTGTTGTGTTGCAGGAGTGAAGTTGTTTGGTATTAGTATTATAAATATGGTTATAAAATAATTTATGCTTTATAATGTAGGAAACATGAAAAATGATACACATTTCCACAACAATACCCTGAGATGATTAACCATACATATATACTGACATCATGCTCATAAAAACACAAAAAAAGAAGTCCATTTCTGGTTGGCAAGCATTTTATTAACTGCTTGTTAGTCTTAAGATATAGTTCAGTCAAGCATACTAGAAAACGAGAATGGTTGTCTCAAGATTATGTAAATCATTAACTACTAATAATATTAACTAAATGAAAAAGAAGAAGAATTAATTTAATTATAAGATATTGTGGTGATGTTTCATTGACTAAAATATGTTTATTAAGTTTCTTGGCAATATTTCAGTTTATATTATTAAACCTGTATTAGGAATGTCATCAAACATGCTGCAGATTAGAAGAGAAATGTGTGCTTTTCTAGACTTTATTAAGACTGAAATTTGCAGGTAAGTCTCAAACTGATTCAGAACTTTGAATCTCAATCTCTGAAGCTAATTTTTTAAGTGATTGAAAAATATATTAGAGTATAAACCCAATTAAATGGAAGTACTCCTCATTCTCATATAAGATTTGTTGTATACTAAATCCATTATTGCTTGATTGCATATAGTGGGCATTAGTTGTTGTTGGTACATTTTAGTAGTCCAAGGTGATTCAGCGGTTAGTGTGAATACCTACAACAACGAGTACAGATACTCATGTGTAGCTTTGCATTTGACAACAAACAAACAGTTGCCATTTTTATGCATTCTGAGATAGCTTATGCACAATGGAAAGTGCAGAAATGTTATTTATCTCTCTGCACCACTAAAAGCTATTACCTCATGTGCAACTGCCATAGAATTTCCTGCACATGCCAGAAGTCTTGGATGAACTCCAATTTCTACATTTGTTTATGTGTATTGTGCCAGCCTATGATGTAATTATCATAAAGTTGTAGCCCTCCACCAGGAGAATGCTGATGGAACTTCCATCTGCAGTAATCTCCGTGTGCACTAACACATAATAATAGGCTCATTTCTTTCTTGCCATTACCTGTGTTTGGTGTGTGTGTGTGTTTTTTTTCTATACCTTTTTGATTTTGCAATTGCTTTGATTAACTGTCTTTCTTTATTTAATGTCCTATTAGTTTTGTCCTTGTTGCACTATTGTTCCATCTACCTGACTCTAAATTTGTTTTCACCAGTCTTCTCTTAACTTCTTTGTGTTAGTTCAAGCAACATTTGCAAAAACCCAAGAAAACAAGTCGCAAGGTCCAGTCATTCCCATTCAGGCAATCTCTACATCTGTGTCAATGGTAAACAGAGGCATATGATGTGTTCATAGAGCTGACATTCATTCATTATCCTTTAGCTTACTTAGTAGAACAAATACCTGGCATATGACAGGTTTCAGATTTCAATCCATGGCAAAGTACTATGATTCTTATGGGCATATTAAATTACCATGATCTTGTAGGGTTGTGGTGAACCATAGTATGACATGGTCACTGCTGACGTTTTTCGAACACAATGTTACTACTATCATTCATCAGATGATTTGTTCCCTTTTATCTACTTCTTCTGAAGTTTATGTCTCTCATCACTCTGTTTCTTTGCCTTTTGTGGAGCCTGTTTCATCTGTGGATGATTTTGGCCAGGTCCTCCACCTTCATCTTTTACTTCTGGCTCTTCTCCCTCTGACAAGGAATGTTTACTTCCTCCTTTTCTTTTTTCTATGCTCAACTTAGATACACAACTTTCTGTCTCTTTTGCTTGTATATCATAATGACTCATGAGTTGCTTTACTTTGTGGGTTTCCTTCTCTCTCATGTCCATGTTGGTCATCCTCTTCCTTATCCTCCTTATCTTCATCACTCCATCGCTATGATCTAAGGTCATGATCCTTCTATATTTTTTTAGCTCCACTCTTGTGTTTGTTCTATCTGCTTGGGGTACTCCTCTTTCTGTGTCCCTCTTTTTCTTACAATCTGCTTGTCTTCATCTTATCTTTGCACATTTTCTGTAGCTATGTCTTTCACCTCTTCACTATGGTTCTTTGTGTGAACCTGATTGTTTTGATGAGCCCTTTCTTTCTTATTTGTTTGCCCCTTTGGCTTCTATTTTTTTTTCTACTGTCTCTACTATGTTATGGTTTCTCTGTTCTTAGGATCTCCTTAGTCTTGATGTTTTTCTTTTGGATGTCTGCCTTCCTTCCTTCTCTCTCTCTTCCTAACCCAAGTCTTGCCCTTTTTCTCACTGCACAAATATTTGGGGATGTTTTCAATTCCTTCACTACTTGGGCTGTAGCTGCTCATCAACAATCTTCCTTAGATTCTCTTATTTCTTGATTCACTACATCATAGATGCCTCTGTTGGCTACCCATCCTTGTCCTTTATTTTATTGCTTCTACTCATTGCCCCCCCCCCCAATCCCACTGTGCAGACCATTGAGTCTCTCAGGGATAACTCTTCCTTGGGGCCAATTCTAGGCTCTGTAACCTTTGGTACTTGCCTCTCCCCTAGCATACCTATAGTCTTCCTTCATTGGTTACCCTTAGGTGGTGCAAGTTCTTTCTTTATGTTTCTCCTTGTGTTTTGTCCTTCAATTCCTCATCCTCTCATCCACCCTCTTCCTCTGCACTTTTGCTATCTTCCTAGGAGTTTTTTAAATTCTTGTACAGGGTAGTCTCAATCATCTCCCTTGCATTATCACATCTTGGAGATCTTGGTATTGAAGGCTCTTCACTCTCCTTTTCTTCTTGTGTGAGCAGTTTTCATGATTAAAAGGGGTCTGGAATATCTATATTCATGCATCCCCTTCAATGAGCCTTGGAGGATCTGTAGCACTCCCTTGCAATCCCTTGACTGCCCATGTGCCTTTCCATTCATCTTTCTGTCCCTATCTCTTGTGGTGGCTTGATCACTCCAACATGACCTGAAGTATTCCACCCAACTTTCATGTTTACAGCAATGCCTTCCTTTAAGGTTGGTCCACCCCCACTTTCTACAGGGTCTGGTATTTGGTGAAGTATTTCCTGCTTATTGACATTCTGAAGATGTCAGGCATCTTCTTGAGCTTGCCAAATTCTTCATTCACATTTTTTGGGTCATCACGCAATGATCTATTCTGACACTTCTATGACTGTTTCTTACAGAATCTGCCAGAGATGCACCCACTTTAAGACCTATGTCTTACTTGTTTTTTTGTCATTGCCCAATTCATTTCAGTGATTGCTGGTTACTGAGCAGTGTTATCCACACCTATCACTTCATGCCCAACACTATTCCCTTTCTTTCAGCTTTTTACTCTTACTTGTTGTGATAATCATTTGGACACATGATTTTGCCTCTTCCCTTCCCCTATATCATAAAGACTTGTTGGTTTGTTCCTTGACCATTCTTTTCTTCCAATGACCAGGTGATCAGTTGTTTTTCTCCCATCTCTCTCCATACTATTTCCGCATTATGCAATCATTCCATTCCCGATCATCTTTTATGTCTTCTTAAGACTGTTGCTATCCCACTCAGACTACCCTTTTTTGAGGATACAACCATTGCCTGTTTTTCATGTGGCTTACCTCCCCCTCTAAAGACTTATTCCATTCTATTTTAACCAGTTGAGTTTGTCAGCCCATCTGTTTGGCATACACCTTTTTGCTTTCTTTCGATGCAGACCTTTGGTAAAAGTCTTGCAGACTGATGTGTGGACTTCTAACATATTCATCTCCCATCTTACACCACTGGGTGGTTCCATGTGCCTCTAGTTTTTTTCCTCCTTCCAATTGCCATTTTACAGTCTACCCAGAGGCTCTAGTTTAGTGAGTTTTGCTTGTTGATTTTTTTCCAACTCCTTTGCTGTTCTAGTTTGATCTCCATTTTTCTCACATATTTCATGACACTGCTGTTTGTATACCATTCTTTACATACATATTAAAAAAATAGGCAAAATATATACAAATATATATAAATTAAAAATATCCCACTTGTCATGTGGAACTAAACATAGGGAATACTTACCAAAAATCCACATTGATTTGGGAAGTACAGAAAATGATAAACCCATCTGCTCCTATTCAGTGTCCACTGTTGAGATGAGGTTTTCTGCAAAACTGCTTTAGCAGTGTATTTATATGATTAACATGGCCATTTCTGCATCTTTTCAAAAAAAAGTTTGCTGTCTTTAGTTATAGTAACCCATTGCAATATGTCAGTAGCTGGTGGGGACCCAATTTCAGTGATTTTGCTTGATAACAGTGGTCCACACACACACACTGGTTTTCTCACCTGTGTGTGTATTCCCCTACCCTTATTCTTTTAGTGAAGCATGGTAGAACCCCTACTTCCTTAGTCTCAAGTCACTTGGGATGTTAATATGGAGATTGTCTTTTGCAAATGGTGCCTTTCTCCCTAGTAAGAGACTAGTTGGGCCCACCCCTTGTTTGAGATGTATAGCTGGGGTTTTACCTGGAGGCATGGTAAAAGCCATCCCATTACTGTATTTTCCAAGCAGTTCCTGGTGGTTATATCTAGCAGAATGAGAATTGAATTTGTCTTGGGATACAGATGAGGGTGCCTCTTCTTTCCACCTTAGTTATAGTATCTATCTCATGCAAGTATTTGACAAAGACGAAATGCCCTAAAGCCCTAGTCAACTACACATTCTTAATATTCCACCCATCTTGGTGAAATGCTAACACCAGCAATTGATTATTTTGATAGTCTTTGCTCTACTATCTTGGTACAAAGAAAAAAATAAAAACTGTTGTGAATGTAGCAGTCTTCCACTGGGTACTGATCCATTGTGCAAATCATATTCTAATGGAAGTCACACTGATTAGGCTTTCCCTTTCTGTCACTATTTCAGAAAGGAGCTCATCTGCTCATCTTTGTAACTGATCATAACTCCACCATTTTCAGTGTGGGATTATAGCTCTTAGTGGTGCAGAGAGGTAAGTAACATTTTCTTTACCTGAATATGTATATCAGATACTTACCTTTCTTTTTCACCACTTCCCACCCTCCCTCCACATTTCCAGTGCATTTTGTTTGCCTCATCAAGAATGAGCCTGTGATTATTTGCTAGTGGTCACAGGGTTTATTGGACATGGAAGCTGTGTCGCCCTTCTAATGGTGGAGAGCTACGGCATTATGATGATTACATTATGGGCTGGCACATTAGATGTAGATATACAGGAATATGTTCACTGCTTGAGGCATGTGCAGGAAATTCCACAGCAGTTGCATGCAACATAATAGCTCTTAATGTTCTAGAGAGGTAAATACATTTTTAAGTAAAGAAAATGCTAACTTTCATGAATTTTGAGACTTTGTTGTTGTACAGTTGTATATTTTGTACATTTTGAGAACCAGTAATGTTACCAGTGTAGTTTATTGGCTCTTCAATGAATTTATATTAATTATGAAAGAGCTTCTTCATAATGTTTTCGTGTATTTTCTTATGGTTTATATTGGGTGCTTCATAATTTACAGCAAAGTATTGTGGAAATCTTAAAGATGTTGGAGAGTTAAAAACACAATATTTTTGTGTTGTGCTTGTATTTATATTTAAGTCTCATAGAAATATAAGTTAAAAATTAAGACCAAGTCATTTTTCAATAAGTTGCCCCCCAATAAGTTAGTGCAAAAGTCAGCCTTTGAAATCACTTGGTTGAAAAACTGAGTCAGAAGTAAGCAACGTCACTCAAAGTAAACAAAGCCAGTAATGGTCGGCTTCTTTTCTGTGCATGGAAACTGTTGGTCTGTTTATGTAAAAACAATTCGTTTTTGTTTTGTTTTTCTGGACAAATGTTATTGACAGATGTTGTGAATACAGTTATTCATGAATAAGCAACAATGGTTTTTTGCTCTGTTGTTTATGGATGTGGGAACATTCCCAAGGGAAAGGAGGTATCTCTGCAAAAGTTTCCACTTAATTCAAACAGCAAATGGTACATTGGCTGGACATACTTCCTATCAAGAACTCGTGATAAATGGAGTTTGACCAAAAGCGGCCACGTATGTAGTAAACACTTCTTTGGAATCAGACTTCAAAAATATACTACAATTTGATATGGGATTTGAAAAAAAAACTGGTGCTAAAGAAAGATGCAGTGTCCAGTATGAATCTGAAGTTTGAGGGAGATTCATCAAGCATGGTAAGCATCAGCTAGGCTCATGCCAGTGGCACATCACGCTCTTATTCACAGACCAATAACAGCGATGGTAGTCGTGTCCGATCAGCTATTCAAAAATGAGAGGCATGCAGGGTAAGCTTAGGTTTTAGCTAATGTTTTAAGTACAATAAAGAATTGTCAGCAATCATTCAGGTTTTATAAACACACCAGTAGATCTGCTAAAGCAAAAAAAGTTTTATGAAATTTTATTTTCAGCTATTATTTACCATAAACAAAAGGCATGGACAAACAATTGGCTATTTCTTTTATCTATTTTTCAAGTTTATAACACTTTTTTAATGAAATTTCATTGGAGATATCAATATGCAACATAAAAAATGATAGATCTACAATATCGAGTATCGAAATATTACCCCAGCTATGTTTGCTTTTTTAGTCCTAATTTATACTTAGCCATATGCATACAATTTGGAGCATTTGCAGAATACAGTATCAGAAGTCCACCAGCTGATATTATATCTATATCTAGATGTAGATCCATCACTTGAAAAACAAATATTGACTAGAATTTACTCATAGACGTACTATATTATCACCCTTGTAACCACACTGACAGCTGTAAATTTCATCCCATTTTCCTGACATTAGCAGTGTAAAACAGTCTTTTATGACATTGTAAATATAATTATTGAAACAAGTCCCTACCAAGAAAGATTAGACAACTGGTAGTCCTCATCCACTTCGGTCAACATTAGACACATTATCGTCTGCAATCTCTGGTTCAAACATATATAGTGTGATTAACACATTACATTCTATCTTCCTCTTCACCTGCTGTTACCATTTTTCTTTACTTTGTGTGATGTAGGTTTGCCCACCGAGTTCGACATGTGGCACTTCCGCTAGTTTTTCTTAAAGCTGTGACCAAATATGGCTTGGAGCCACATGAGCTTGAGTATTTCGTGACATTTTTTTAAGGGTATTATTTTTAATGCGATTAGATAAATTCAAGCACAAAAAATACCCTATTGTCTGTGGTCCTTAAATCTAAAGTATTAACCAGGCCTAACGCATTATGTCCTGTTGGGCTTTATTTTAAAAGCTTAACAGAAACATATTAGTGATTTTTACTGCTATTTTTAAGTCTCTTGACAATGGAGATCTGTCAGGTTGATTGATTATCAGTTTTAAGAGTTTATGAGTGAAAGTAAAGATGAATGTCTTAATATGTCAACCACACTATATCTTTCATATCCAGTGACAATGAAGCCTTTACCGAATACTAGACTAGGGATAATGAAGCTGGTTGAGATATGACAGTTGTAGTAGTAATAGCTATTCTAAAAATAAAGAAGATGAGAGAAGATATTAGAAATTTAAGGCATATTAGTTTAACTTGCATTGTTTGCAAAGTGTTGGATTTCTATTTATAGATTTTTCAAATGCTTATGAAAATACTTCTTTTTATTAATAATTCTTAACATAGTTTTAGAAATTTTTTTTTTGCTTTGTCAGCTTGCTTAAGATTTTTGACAGGGCTTCAATTTTTCATTCTTTTTAATGGAGGCATCCCTGTATATTGATTTCCTTAAATCTTTTGATAAAGGCATTGCACAAAAATAGATTAATTTGTTAATGAGATGCTTTGGAATTAGTGTAAATTTAAAGAGCTAAAAAAAAATTGTCTTCATGACAGAATGTAAAGAGTTATGATAAATGAGCATTTCTCCAGTTAGAAGGATGAGACTGTTGTGGTTTCTTTTAGAAGTCTATATTCAAATGTTCATTGTTTATAATTTATGTAAACAATTTGGATAGCTTCTCTGAATTTATTTTTCCAAGTTGTCTCATGATGGTAAGTTTCTGTAAAGGGCTGTTTTTTTGTAAAGTGTTCTTTCTACTGAAAAGTACAACTCATGTATCTAAACCCTTTGTGAATGTCATTATTCCATTAGATTGTCCCATTTTCTGTGAAGGTAGATATCATAATGTTTACTGTAATTCTGAATTTACTATGTCTATCATTACAAAATTTGTTACACATTTAGTAAATGTTATAAGTGTGTTTTATACAAAAAAAAATCAGATTTTTTAATATTATTTTTATTAAGATTTTTCCATTAATTTATGAATTTATGTTGTGGGAAAAAGAGAATGATTTGGATTTGATTGTTGGTAAAAGTCTGCATCATTTAGTTACATGATTATATGTATTTGAAAAAGCAAATAGAATTCTGAGTCTTAGTTGATGTAAAGTTGGTTGTTTCATGCATCCTGAAACCTTTTTGATGTATACAGTGTAATTTATGAGCTATTGAATAAATGTATAGGAATTTTAAGTTTTAGGAGTAAGAAGGTTATTTAAGCCATGAAAAAGACTAAATTGAAGCCTTATTTAAATTGTAGCTTAGGTTTCTACACAAAATAAAGAGTATGAACATGTTGGAAAGTGTGCAATAACTGGTTACTAGAATGATGCTTGTGGTTTAAAAGAAATTGAGTAGAGGCTTAAAAATTTGTTTGCTCTGAATGGTAGAAGGATTCTAGAAGTAAATCAATTCAGGTTCTTCATATTGTTAGGGGCTTGGACAATTTGCCCGTGAGTGTGTGACTGATTGGTGGAGTAGAGAGGTGGAAATACGAGTATGAAAATTAAAAACAATAAATTTGTGCTTTGAAGGCCCATATTCTTTGATGAAATTATTTTTTGTTTAAGGCTTTTCAGTTTTTAAAGGATTAGCATATGGATTTTAGGGCTACACTTTATTTTTGAAGATTTGTTTTATTTTTATGGCTTAGATCTAGCTTAGTTTAAGGGTTTTTGTCATCTCATACTTCCTTATACTGTTTATTGCTACAGATGGTTGGAGACGATGTCTTGTGGTCAGTCTGTGCAGATCAGCATGAGAGCAAAGGAAATCAACATATCTGACTGTTTAGTTGCTATCCTGAAAGAATTTCATGGCCTGCTATTGTTTATGGGACGACTTTCAGACCTCCCAGATTGTATTTTACAGAATGGAATTTCTCATCATGGAAACAAAGTAGGTTAAAAAGTCTAGATTTTCAAGTGATCATTTTGCTCAATTTTAGTGTATATTTTTTTATTTGTGTTAAGTTTTTTGCTCAGTAAGTTATTTAGCTACTGTTTTCCAAAAAATATAGATAACTGTAATTTATGCTGTTGTAAGGTTTTTAATTCCTAGTGAATTCAAACTTTTGTGATACAGATAAGATATTTAGGAACCATCTGTGTGTTGGAAGAAATTCAGTTTTTCTTCAGTGCCTTACAAATACAAAACATGCAAGGGGTTAAAAAAAGAAAAGAACTAGTAAACTTTTATCATTTACGTTAAATGTTGCACATGAACTGACTGCAGTATTTATTGTTTAAAGCTGTAGGAGGCTGGAGGTTTTAACTGTTGGCTGCATATTTAGTTTAGGCTATATATGTGTAAAAAATAGCATTTTAAATCTATCTTTTGTCTCCCAAAATGTGGCAAGTCATTGCCCTGGAGGCCTTTGTTTAGTACCAAAACTCATCAGTTGAGCTGGATTATGAGAGCCAAAAGATTCTGCTATTTATGTATGCAGAATAATACTTTAAATGTTGGGATATAAACAGTGAAAGCTGGCAAAGCATTAGAAACCGAAAGGCCTAAAATGTTGGATAAAAGCCATATAAACTCCAGATGTTTTTTTTTTCATATTTTTCTTAAGTTTCCTGCTTCAAATTCAAGATTAGATGTGTGTAAAAATAGCATTCCAAATCACACCTCCTCTCACACTATAGCTTTATCCCAACAAAAGTTACTCTTCTCTGCCCATCTAAGCATTGGTATGAATCTTACCTCACTTGCTTCAGCCTTTATACTCCACTATATTGCCCACAGCAAGTTAAATCTTGTGATTATTTCCACCTACGCAAATGTGCCTTTTATCCCAAATTTTCTCCTTCTTTGTTGGAGGGAAATCAATTGGCTGATTACCTGGTCTTTCTTCCCTCGCCCGACATTTTTGTGCATGCTAGGAAATTTGCTGATCATTTGAGAGAGGGTGCTGCCATGCCTTGTCCTCCTGTATCGGATCAGCATGCCTCAGCTTTCCATCATATGGAGAAGACATATTTGGATTCTCAGAGGTTGGATTCTATTTTTCCTATTTGGGGTTCTTGGCCTGATGCCACTGTTCATCTTAACCAAACTCAGTTTTTCCAAATTTGTATGTCTCTCATACCAATTGTCTTTCCATTCCCTAAGGGTTGTCTGACATCCAGTTATTGAGCACAAACCGTCCAGGATCTTTTACACAAAGGAGCCATAGAACTTGTTGACTCTATCGATGGTTTTTATTCCCATCTATTTGTAGTACCAAAGAAGATGGGCGATTGGTGTCCTATCATCTCAATCATTTCCTCCAGTCTCCTCGGTTTACAATGGAGTCATTTCTACCCCTTCGGTGGCACTTTTCACTCGGAGTATGGATGAGAAAGTTCAATGTTGCCAATGCCTATCTTCATATTCTGATTGTATTGTCTTCATGTCGTTAACTTTGTTTTGTGCATGATAGACAGGTTTTTCAGTTTCACACTCTCTCATTGGGCCTTGCATCTGCCCCATATGTCTTTTGCTTGATAGTCAGATCCTTTTCACGTCATCTTCACTCATTGGCACTCACCATTATATGGATGACTGGCTTCTTCTCATTCCATACCGCCACTTGGCAGAACTTCACACTCAAGCTCTTTTATATGAAGCTGTGAGAGCAGTTTTTCTAATCAAAATGGATTACTTCACACAACACCTCATCCATTTAGGAGTGTTTTCAATCCCCATCTCAGTCGTGTCCAACCTTCTCGTCTATGCCTTCAGTTCATGGAATGGGCCATTCTTCTAATACAATTGTTTCCTTCTCCACCAGCATGTGCAGTTCTATCTCTTTTGGGGATGTGGGCATCCTTGGAATCCCTCATTCTTTTAGGTCGGGCCCATGTGTATTCCCTTTAGTGGTCATTCTAGGACCAATGGAACATTTTCACAGATGCACTGGATTGTCCAGTGATCCTAGCTGCTTTTAGTCTGCTTGATCTTGGCTGGAGGTTGGACAGTAACAACACGACAGTAGGTGACCCTCTCCCACCCCCACGTCCAAAGATACATCTTTTCATGGAGGTTTCTCTTCAGGGATGGGGCACTTGTATAGGGGATGTGGAATTCAAGGGCCTCTGGACAGAAGAGGAATATTCTCTCTATGTCAATCTTTGAGAGCTTCTAGCAGTTCAACAAGCTATGTATTTGAGTCTCGTATTGTTGCGAGGGAAGGTGGTAATGCTTCACTCAGACAGTTCCACTGAGGTTTCATACATTTCCAAGCAAAGGGGCACTCATTCCTGGTTTATGTTTTCAAACATTAGATCTTTTCTTTTGGGCCCACAATCAAGAGATTGTTCTCCTTGGTTGTCATATTCCAGGTGTAATGAATTTAGTGGCTGATCAGTTATCTCGTCCCAATAGAGTTCTTCCCATGGAATGGATGCTTCATCCACAAGTTTTATGCTGGATCTGCTGTCGTTTCAGGAATAAGAAGCAATAAAGGGGAGCTTATATATGGATCTGAGATAGGGGGCACACTAATGTAAGTGGATAGAATCACAAGATTTAACTTGCTCTGGGCAATATAGTGGGGTTTAAAGGCTGGAGCAAGCGAGATAAGATTCATACCAATGCTTAGATGGGCAGAGAAGAGTGTGAGAAGAGGTAAGTATTATCGGAAATACATTTTTGTTATATGAAAATGTTAACTTTCAAATCTATATTTTGTCTCCCACAAGGCACTGCCCTATAGTTATTTTATTCAGTACCAGTACTTGTCAGTTGGGCTGGATGCTGAGATACAGAAGGTTCTCTGAAGCGATCTTCATATACAATCATATAATACTTTAAAAGTTAAGAGTAATGTAAAAAAAAACATGGTTCTTATACACTCATATAATACTTTAAAAGTTAAGAGTAATGTAAAAAAAACATGTAACTTACATGGTTCTTATCACAGATTTATGCCTTTTAGCTTCTAATGCTTTGCCAACAGCTTTCAGTGTATAAACTATAACTTTTGAAGCATTATACTGCATAAATGTTTTTGTTTAATAACTTCAGAGAAATTAGCTGTAACAGTTTTTGTTAAGTTAGTTGTGGTGTTAAGTTAATTTAAAATTTTAGTGGTAACACCTATCCTCAGTGTAGAAACAGATTATGTGGTATTCCTCAAATTTGCAAGCTTTGGTTTGCTTGGACCAACTAAAATTTGGATCAGTAATCATATATTAATTATTATTTGCCATCAGTGACTGTGGGGATAGTAATGTGAAATACAAAATGTAAAATGTGATTTCTCTATTTAAAAACAGTCTGCTTGTCCACAGCACTGTGGTAAAAGGATAATTCTACTTTCTCATCAATTGTTTTACCTATTTTGAAACCCTACAGGTCTCAAAATTAGCAGGGGTCTGGGAGCCAATGGTTCCCAAAAATGCCAGCAGGCCCGTAAAAAGTGTATCCTAGGTATCCCATGTGGCCCTTTAAAAATCAAAAGAACCATTAAAAGTTTGACTCTACATAAATTGATCTAAGCATTTCTTAACTGAGCAGAACACATGACAAACCATGAATGGACCTTCCCAAATTTACAAACACTCATCAGTCATGTACAATCCACAAAAATGTACAACAAATGTTTAGCTCTAAGAGGTGTGTGCTAGCTGTGCTGGTGTACGATGTATACAGCATGTATAACCTGTCATGCCTAACAAGCAGTGTGTACATGTATGTATTGTGTATACAGATCAAGCAATGTGTGTGTTCCAGGTGGTTCATAGCCTTTGCCAAGGCTGTTGTGGCTAACATACCCCCACTTGATTGCACAACACCAAAGGACTCAAGTTAGTGAGTGGCGAAACTGTAAATAAAGCTGCTCATTGATCCATCAGTATATCACAAAAGCAAAGTTCCTTGGAAGGGAGGGGCCTGAAAGGTGACCGGGGTGGTCAGAAACTGTAATTTATCTTCACCCATTTGCAAAAACTTTGGTTGAACAACTACCAAGGCTGCAAAGAAATTATGTTTTCAGATTTTTGAGTGTTTTGATGAAATGATGTGGAGCAATGTTGTTGAAGCATGAGAGACTGATTCACAAGCATGGTTGGTGAACAAGAAGAGTTGACACCTTGTAATAAATGTCTGTAGACAGAAAACAGGACATTTGTTGAAAGAAAGAGAGGTTGATACTGAAACTGAAGAAGGCTGCTCGTTGTATATGAAGGCTTGAATATAAAAGGTGGCTGTTGACATTGACAAAGCAGGCTGCAGGTGTGAAGATTGAAGGAACCAAGACTGTACCAAAGATATCCAGTTCAAAGTTGACTCGAGTTGTTTAAATAAAAGTGATAATTAGGGTCTGAAGCGATTGATTAATTAATTTTTTTTATAGGAGATGAATACCTCTAAAACTAACAAAGATAGTAATGTTTAAATGGGTTTCAATTTATTAAAATTGATGGCAAAAAGATTTAAAAGCTTTGTCTGAATTAATACATAAAAATGTAATTTAAGTTTTGAATATGAATATGAAGAAGAGTGGTCATTCTCAGGGCAAGGATCTATAGATCCAATGAAAAGAGCACCCCAAGAAAACCCACTTTCACTGATCAGGGAATGGATATTCTACCTGATAAGTGCCTAAAGAGTTAAGTATTAACTGGAGTTTACAAAGTTTTTTCCATACTTTTATTTATTTTCCTAAAAAATGATACAGCTTGAAATTTGGATGGGTTGAAGGCTACATGCCACTTATTGCACCAATCTGACACTACATTGAGTGATGTTGGGACTCTAAATGTCATGGTATGCGGGTTGCTAGAACTCCAGATATCAATATCATCTGCATATTCAGACACAAGTGTATGGTTTAAGGAAGGGAACAGGATATTATTGACAAAGAGGTTATATAATGTTAGGCTTAACATTGTCCCTTAGGGGACACTGTCTTCAAATGTGAAGAGCCCAGAGGTCACATTGTTGATCTTAACTTCAACTGTTCTGTTGTTAAGAAAGCTGGATATCCAGCATACAATAGGGATGTGTGTGTGATTATCAATTTGTTTATAGTTGTGCCATACGGAATCAAAGGCATTTTGGACGTCTAGAAAAGTAGCTGTAATTGTATGATTTGTATTGAAACCATAGTAGATGGTTTTGGCAAGTCTAAAGAGGTGGTCAGTGGTTTGTCTACATTTTCTGCATGAATTCTATATGTTGTTAATAATATTGTTGGTTTTTATTTAAGCATTTAACCGGTTTATGATTACTTTCTCCATCAGCTTACCAAAGGTATTTAGTAAGCTAATGGGTCTATAGCTACTAGGATTAGTTATTCTTCTTCTTGGGAATTACCTTAATAATAGCTGATTTCCAAATAGATGGGTAATATCCTGATAGTAACAATAGATAATAATTGTTATTAATGGGTTATGATTTTGTTGGATAGGTTTTTCAAGATTAAATTGTTAATTCCATCCTCTCCTGGAGCTTTGCATTTTATTGTCTTAAGGTTAATTTTGATTTCTGCTAAAGTTATAGGGCAGGTATACAAATCTTTAGAACCAGAAATATGTGGTATAGAAACCGTGAAGTTTGGTGAAAAAGTGTTGATTATTATAAATGTGTTGATTTACATTATTTAAATGTTGTGTGTTGAACGAGGTAAGATTTGGGGTTACGAAGGTACTTTCAAAATATTGGGCAAAAAGTTCAGACTGTTTGTTATTGGTAGTGGTAGTTTTGTTAATGTATTGAATTTTATTTATGGTGTTGTTTGATTTGTTGTTTGTGAGAGATTTAAATTTCCACCAGAATTTGGAAGGGTTGGATTTGAATTTATCTCTTAATAGGCAGAAGTTTTTCCTGGTACAATGTTGATGTTTTTGTAATATAAGTTTATTAATAAGATTATATTCATGGCATTAATGAGTGGTGTAAGTGTAATGTCATGGGTTAATATGAAGTCGTGTCTGAGTTGTATGCAGGTAATTAATAATTCATGAATTTTGAGAGTAAGTTTCCAGGATTGAAAGTCAGTATTTGTTACTTTGCTAGGGATTGCTTCTTTGATGGCTTGGGTTATGGCAACGATTACATCAGAAGTGTAATTATTGATTTTGGTCTGGTTGTTCGTGGCTGCGATGCTCCTTGTTTAAAGGCTAGGAGGTTCAGGACTCCATGGCTTGTGAAGTTGATATGTAAAAATGTTAGCATGCTCTGCATTTAGCACCTGGGAAACATTCTAAATAGTACGGTGAAGAAAAATTCTGATGCTTTTCAACTTCCCAGTGGCACTTACAATGCTAGAAACTGGGATTTGATATCAGTGGTGGGCAGAGCACAGATAGCCTATTGTGTAGCTTTGTGTGTAATTACAAACAAACATGCTTTTCAGGCATTTTTTACTTTTTCTGATACAATATATTTATTTTTTGGTTTATTCTAAGAGACATGCTTTCATTAAAAACAAAAAACTCCAAAGTAATGGAATTTCCATAAATTTTGCTCTATGGCCCGGTTTGAGTTATGTTAAACACTTGCCTGATGAATAGGTCTACATACCCAGCTATGATTGGCCAATCATGAGGTGATGTTCTGAAAACTATTAGTGGTCTATTAGCAAAGGGTATATTAATTGCTATGGCAACACATCTGAGTTTTTTCAAGTACAAACTTTGAGCTCATAGCTCTGTAACCTCTTGACCGATTTGAGATCTAATTACAGTTTTGGACTCAGTGGGTCAAACCCTTTTGAGCGATGTATTTGACCATGCCCAAGGTCTCGTAGATTAATTCAATGACGAGGAACCCACTTTAAGACTAATAATGGTTGGAGACGGCTTGAATGGGTAATGAAGAAAAACTTTAATATATGTCTAACATAACAGCAAATGTACAATGTTTCGAAAAGTTTTTGTCATCATCAGGTGCATTTGCTGGTTATTTTCTCTATACAGGGTTGGTCAATTTGACCAACCTTGTAACCTCAAAAACAAAATCTAAATAAACATAAATTACCCTTATTTTTTTTCTAGAATGACTTCAAATGTAACATGAAACTACATTCGTTTATCCTAAGTAACTTTAAACTTGTAACAGTATACATTTATTTATAATTAAGTTTTATTGTTTTACTGCTCTTTGAACTGTGTCTAACTACTATTTGTGCCATTATAAGTTGTAAATCACTTGGAGAATGTGCAACTCATGTTATGCTATTGAATTACATTACCCATGAGCTGCTTGTGTGTGTGCCTCATGAAACATTTTTATTATATTAATATTATTTATTTTATCTAATCTAACCATAACTAACCTAAAGAGATCCTTCATGAGTTGCACGTTACCATGACACGGAGCATTGTCGAAAGGAGGTTTCAGGGGTTGGATTAGCTGTGACCTTTTTTCCTTTATTTTTGGTCACAAAGTTTCAAAGTACACGTACTTCTCTTCAGAGTTTGAACTGCTAAACATTTCACATTTACTTTTTGTGTTTATTTTTTTGTCAGCAACTGAAGTAGAAATCTGCTGAAAATGAAGCAACAAATCACTGCTTGTGTCATTAGACTGTTTACATGATACCGTAATATGATACTCTCGAAAGCAATAAAGCATGCATACAGAAATAAGCTGACTTGACAACTGCCACAAGAACATGATGTGCAATTTATCAGCTTATGTATCCTACAGTGTTTACGACGAGAATTCCCCAAAGTAATAAGATTACACTTTGAATCTTTTAAAACATTTATTACAGTATATGGTTTGGAGCCAAACCAGTAAACATTGCAAGTGTTTGAATATTGGTCATCCTTATGGGATGTTGAAATTTAGTAGTATACCTACAGGCTTACAAAGATAACTGCCTGTTTTATCGAATGCCCATATCGAGAATGAGACTAAAGACACTGCTCTTAGTCCAGAATATTGAAATGCCTGTTATTGAAGATTTATTTTGATTACAAATAGTAGGAAAAAATTAAAAGACTGAAATGGTCTGCCCTTAATGGCTGGATGCCTGTTAATTGAGGTTCTACTGAATATGATATTTTAAAATTTTATGTATTTCTTGTTAAACTTAATATTTTATTTTCAGTTTAAAGTTAGTAATCAGTGTATACGTATCTCTGAGAGAGAGATAAAAAGTAATTATATCTACTTAACCAAAGCACTTTAAGACTGAAAGTAATCATACTGCTGTAGGAGTGTCACAAGGTTAAACATGCCTTAATCATTATTATTTCATGTATGATTCACAAGAACCTTGTTTTGTCCAAAAAACATTTATTTGTATGCTCTGTATAGATCTTTTCTCTTAATAATGTAAAATTAAGAGTTAGGCGTCATTTATCAACACTTATAATCTGTATTTCATGGCTTTTCATTTTTGGCATTCTACTTTGTATATGTTGCTGTCAAAATTCTTAATATGTATGTTTGTCTGAGTGTACATGTCATGATTTGTGTTTGTAGTGTTCATCTGCTGTGTATCATTATTATCACATATATCTGGATGTGTGGTGGAGCTTTCTTCAGATCCTTCATCTTCTTTCATCATCTACAAACTTTAAAAGTGAGTAATATTTAAAAATGTATTCTGTATATTGCAATTGCTTGACCTATATTTCATTTTAAGCTTCTCTAAGTAAACATGATTCCTTGGCTGCAGCCTTCTGTTAGAAATCTGACCTTCCTCTGATTTAATAAAATTAGAATTTTCTCTTTTATAATAAAAGTTTTGATGTGATTACTAGTATTATGTTAAAACTATAATATTAACACAAAGCTGTATGAGTGTATTTACAGAGTAATGATATATAAATTTGAGAGATAGTTAAAATGAGTACATTTGAATTAGTACATTATTGAAAATGTATTCTCACCTAAACAGTACAACATAAAATTAACTCCTAAACATATAAAATTATGTGATTGGAATTTTGCTCATGGTGGACATAATATCCATGATTTAAAAGGCTTTTGAAATACTTGTTCCCACAAAAAAGATATTGAAGTTAATCTAAAGGAGGACTAGCAAGATCAGGTACCAAAATTCACTATCAGATCTACTATTCAAGAAGTATCTTCTTACGGAAGTACATAGAAAAATTAGATTTTTTTTTACACCAAGATCAGGTCAGTGGGTTCAACACAAAGAAAATGGCAATTATTTACATTTTCTACAGAGAGGTAGCTGTTATGTATAGAAAGGTTTTTCTTGTGTAAATAAGATGATAATAAAATGTTATTTTGGTATGTTTGATCATCCAACTATAAGGGGATTTCATTTAAATTTTTATTTTATTTGAGTTTTCTAATTTCTACTGTAATGCTAAATCCTACATGTTCTATAATTCAATGAATGAAAAAATTCATCTATGATTACCTTTGGGGTCATAAAGATTACTCTGAATGCTCACTTTGTTACTGCATTCACCTTGTTTTATTTTGTAATTGTTTGTTTTTGTAATTTTATAATTTTCTCCATAAGCATATTAATCCTGATTATAAGGAAATTTTCTACTGTTAATTTGGATTTCTTAGCAGTAGGAAGTTTGATGTAGCATTTGTTGTAACAGATCCAAGAAAACAAGTTACAGCTGTGAAATGTCCATGAGTACCATTTGGGCACTGGCAATGGTCTGAAAGGTTTCACCAGATAAAATTAAATTTATTTTATGCATGAAAAAAACAAGTAACAAGAATAAAACACAGTCATATATATGGAAACCCTACTTAAATAGGCTAAAATCACTTCATATCATATAGATAGTACTTTAATGTAGTGCCTCATTATGTTCACATATATATCTTGTACTTTTATCTCATGTTTTAACCACTCTTTATCTTTTATTGCTTAGATATTTTACATTATGAAGTACACTGAGTGGTCACAAGTAAATAGACACCTAATTTTTCGTCATTTAACTG